GAGTTTTTATATTTTATATTTTTTATATTTAAAGCGAGTTTTTTGGGCAGTGTAGAGTAGGGCTTGTTGTTTGTCATTTCTCCGATCACAAATGCAGACATGGTTTTATGTTTACGCGGCGCGATGCAATGCAACGCGTAAAAAGACAGTATAAGTCATTATAATACATAATTATGTCCCCACTGGATGCAACGAATGCCTCGTTTATAATGGGTTTTCATGTTTTTGAATCATCGCTCCAGCCGGACAGGGCATCACAGTATGATAGGGGCGTAACATTTCCGTCATGCACTTGAGGAATTCGGCCAATCACAGCAAACTGGATAGCTGGTCAATCACAGCACACCTTGCTTTTCAGACCGATGAGCTTTGTAAAAATCGACGCGTTTCAGAAAGGTGGGGCATAGAGGAGAAACAATAATGTATGTGGAAAATAATGTGTTTTTTTAACCTTAAAACGCATAAACACATTTCATTACACCAAATAATGTTCTTTTTAGCAACATCATATGACCCCTTTAATTAGTACATTAATATGACGTGTTGCTTCCTATTGTTTATGTAACTGATATATAATTCATATCATCCAGATTTTCTCTCGAATGTAGTGAAAATCTAACTACTTTTAAATGTATTAAAGAGCAATTAATACATATTTCATTATACATGAGTGAACTAGTTAAACTGGTAAAGTTTAACTAGTTAATTAGTTACTGTTATTAATTTTGTCATATGCAAGAATAACCCTGTGGTAACTGGACAAAAAGTAGGTAACTATTAACTTAACTAACAACTAGTGTGCATTTGGCTCTATGTCTTTAAATTGGCTGTTTCCTAACTAGTTAACTAGCAAATTAGTCACTTGTCAACTAATAACTACTATTTAACAACTATGTTGAAAATGGAATTTGTTGGTAAGAGAAGGTAATTAGTAGTAGTAGTAGAAGTAGTTGCAGTAGTCAACTAGTATTTTACTTGATTAGAACATTAATATGACTTAACTACTTATGTAATCCATTACTGATGGTATAGCCCATTCACTGTCAGTGATAAAATTATGTGTTTAATGAGCAATTATTGTAATAGACAAGGATGTTGTTCCTTAACATACCCTTTCCCTACAACTCATGGAGTTCCTTTACAGTACAACATCCTGTATTCTCCCCTCCTCTTCCTCCTCTTCATCTTGATCATCGGTCTGGATGCGAATCTCTGGTCCATCTTTATGAGATTCAGGCTGGCTCTGAGCACGCTCAGGTTTGGGGGTGGAGACAGATGATGAAGGCGGTGATGGCTGCTGAACAGACATGGCTCGACGCAGCAGCGGAGTGCGCTTGCAGGATAGGAAGTCCGGGGATGGAGATAGGAAGTCTGTTTTGGAGGAAAGGCCAAAAGATCCCTGACGAAGCACCATTCGGTTTTTTTTGGAGCGTGAGCCATGCTCAAACTCAAGAATGGAGAGGTGAGCTGCATAGCCTTCACTCAGAAACTAAGTCAGATGGAATAGAAAAAAAGGAGGGAAAATTGTGCATGAAAAGATATAGTTCTGTTAAGTAATTGAGTAGACTAAGAGGAAAACACCTTAAGCCGGTAAACTAAAACGACTGTTCCCGGTTGCATGAAAGCCCTTAAGATAAGACATCCCTTAGTTATAAGGTTAAGGGTGCCCTTAGTGAAACTTGGGTTGCAAGAAAAAACCTAAGGTCAACTTAAGGAATCTTAAGTCTGTCATTAAGTATTCCCCCTTAATTATTTAAGTGTTCCCTTAAGTGTTGCTACAAAGTACTTCCCTGTTGACAGCTGGTATGAGCTGGTTTAAGCAGGTCCTTAGTTAGTCATGAGCTGGTTCTGAGCTGGTCCTGAGCAGGAGCTAGTTGCTTAGGACCAGCACATGACCATCTTAAACCAGCTTATGACCAACTAAAGACCAGCTTAAACCAGCTCAAACCATCTACCATGCTTCAAAAGATACCTAACCAGCATATGCTTGTTTTTTTAACAGGGTTAGTAACTATTTCACCTTAATAAATTTAAGGAACCAAACCAGCTCCCTTAAGTCATCTTAAACTCAAACACGATGGCTGATTTTATGTTAACTGAAGAGGAGGAAGTACCGAGATGTGTTTTTAATGTTCAGAATAATCCCTTATTCGATCAATAAATTATGTGCAATTATTGAGAGAGTATCCGTTTTACCGTCAGTAAATCCTTTGTCTCACCACAGTCTAGTTTGGTTTACATTTTTTTGTTTTCTGTGATCTTGGTATTCTCCATAACGTAAATATTTTAGTACAATTGTGGTTGTAGCAAAGGTTAAGTTTGTGGTTGGTTATGTTCTGTTTATTGTGAGATGTAGTAACTATAGCAACGGTGGCGCCCATTGCAATATGTTGCCAGAAACTACAGTGAAACGCTTAGTACAATCACTTTGGTAAGGGTTACAGTTAAGACTGGGGGGCAGTCGTGGCCTAATCGATAGAGTTGGACTTAACCCAAAGGTCATGGGTTCGAGTCTTGGTACCTGCAGGGAATGGCTGCCCGCTGCTCCAGGTGTGTGTTCACTGTGTGTGTGTGTGTGTGTGTGTGTGTGTGTGTGTGTTCACTACTCACTGCTGTGTGTGTGCACTTGGATGGGTGAAATGCAGAGCTCAAATTCCGAGTCTGGGACACTTCAGGGATACCCCCTAAGTCAAATTAAGAGCTTTCATGCAAACAGAGCTTTACCTGGCACTGATGCTGATGTTTCTTGGATGGCCTGCCTACAATGTATATCTGATTAAGTGCCAGTCCCAATGTGCTGTACACAGACATGTCCTTCATAGATCCATACGCTGCACTGATATTAATGTGACACTATGTGGGAAAAACAAATTTATTCAGCATGTTTTTCCTTCCCAATGGACAATTGAGGCATGCAAAAATAGCAAGCTGTTTTAAATAAAGATAACATAAAACATTATGAGGCTAATCATTAAGAAAAACCTACAAAATCGTCTTGTAATGTAACATATTATAATGTATAATGTAAATGTCCTGCTGTGTTGTGTACACGCCATCGGCAGACCTCTTTTACTAGACTCTTCAGAAAAATTGTTTTCTGACGCAAGGGGTCATGGACGAGTCCTTCTGCGAAGAAGACCATGCCCTGAGGGAAGTTGTGCTGAGAGAGCCAAGACACCACCCTCTGCTTCTGCATGTCAGGACGGCCAGTAATGTAGATGATCAGATACCCAAGATCCTGCCAGTGTCTACAGAATAATCAAAACACAGTTATACAGGGGCTAACGACATCTATGAATAGTGTACAAAATAGGGCCTTAAACTTGATCTGTGAAAGGAGTCTTACCTTTCAGAAATTTCTCTCATCAAATAAAACATAGCCCTGCCCCCAGACTTAGCAAACTTATCTAATACAGTACATCTTACAAAAATATGGCATTTGTGCCTCTAAAGGACATTAAAGTGTGCTGTATTACAAGTAGTGACAGCAGTATAAAGGTGCCATCACATTAGCAAAATTTTGTGTGAAGGAATTGTCAACAGTCAATAGGTCTCTTGTCACTAATGATGTATGAAGCACAGTTCACAGTCACTTTCAAGCTAAACAGCTTTCTGTTTGTAAACGTGGCATAACCAACTTGAACCCATTTTGAAATCTGTGGGGAAATGTTTCGCTCCTACACAAGAAATTTTCCATCACGTGGATTCCCATAGAAATGGCTATGTTTTGCACATGAAAAACAGTAAACCACACATTAAGACTTGTCTAACTGTTTATCATCAGTCACACATTTACCTGACCACATCCACAGCTCCAGGGCGGACTTTGGGATCATTGCCCATAAGGGAGACACTGGCAGCAAAAGAGCCATCAATACTAAACACCACACACTCCATTCCCCGTGGCAACACTGTGAGGAATGCCTCTGCACTTGTCTGATCACCTCTGTAAGGACAAATAAGGAAATGCAACCAACTCCGGTTAGAAATTCCTCCATTCTTGAATTATTATTATTTTTTAAACACAGTCTATAGATAGATATTACAGTTATTTACTGTTTTGTGATGAGAATGTGAATACTTACTTGACCACCATTTTAATGGGGTAGACACCCACTCCGAGTCTTTTATTATCAGGCATGGTGTAGGACACCCGTCCACTGCTGCTGGTCACCACAGTGTCGAACAGCACCCAACGGCCAGAGGCAGGCTGTGTCTTTAAAAACACATCCACCTGAGAAACAGACAGGATATTTGAACTCAAAAAAATATATACCAGATCACAATTTTAGTTTCAGTGAAACTTTTGTGCTGTCTATCCATCAGAGTGGTAATACTAACAGTTGTCTTTAATTTTGTAGCATTGGTCATGACAACAATACAGTTATGACAATGACCATCTTACCTTCTCTCCCGTTAGGGTCACCATGTCAAGAGGGCCATACATAAACCGCCCCACCAGTGTCTGCGGGCCATCTTCTGTCACAATGACATCATGAACTCTGTGATTCGCCGTTACATTCTGATAATGAATAATAATAATAATAAGATAGACCTCCAATTCAAAGGGATGCTAATAAAAACTATTCAAACCTATTTTAACAGGATTATTATAGTTAACTTAAATGAAAAACACAAAACACCTTAAAATAAACATTAACTGAAATTAAATTCAGTATTTTAAACAAACTTATTTTATTCAACTAGCTGCTAAGACGACATATCTCATTTTGATTTGTCAAAGCAATATATTCTAACACTAAAGGACCTTGTTGTTCTGATTTATTACTATGAATTAAAATCACACTGTTAAAAACAGCTTTACAAGAAGATTCATCAGCATGTTTAGAGTTAAAAATAGCAAAGGCCTGAAAGTGTCAGTGCTGACATGTTCATGTTGAATGTCTTGGGCAGTAACTAAAACTGAAATAAAAATTATATAGACATATAAAAAAACTAATAAAGATAACAAAAACACACAACAAAATTGCCAAAACTTTAAATAAAATAAAAACAGAAAATATTAAAATATTAAAAACTATAATAGTATCTCAATCGTACTAAAATAACACCGATATATAAATTGTTGTCTGTCTTCTTCATGAAAGGATGTTGACATTAGAAAAGTTTTAATGGTTCTCCAGCACAGTGGTACATTTGCGAATACATATATTGTGAGACTTAGTAAGGTTAAGAGGGGACAGTTGTGTTGTACTTTAGAGTCTTTCTAATTCTTTAGGGAATGTGGAAATATCTGACAAGAGTTCTCAAAGGATGTTCATGTTGACAGTATAAGATACTTTAGAAAGAGTTTTTTACACACAAAGTAAGTAAACATCACAAAAAGGAACCACAAGCTACACTGGCAGACTAAATATTGCAGTAGATGAGCTTCAACATAAAACATTAATTTGCATCAGTTATGTAAAAACTCCTACAGTGTCACGAATCCGGTCTATAATCTTCCGTTCACTCACCACCAGAGGTCACCCGCTCTCCACATGGACTCTCACACTACACAGACTGTTACACATCACCCGGGACTACATTTCCCATGCTCCATTGCGCTAATCACAATCTCTCCTGAAACCAATCACACACAGCTGCTACCAATAACACACACTATATAAATCAGTCTCACACCACCATTCAATGCCGAGTATTGTTTAGCGCATATTCTTTCATAGCGATAGCTACTTTACAGAGCCACTCCAAGTTTCTTAATCTAGTATAGCCTTGTTCTTAGTCTGTTTACCCGTGTCTTTATCCTTGCCTGTTATCTCGTTTTGTCTGATCTCTGCCTGCCCTGAAGTTTATAGCCTGTTTTGGTATTACCCTTTGCCTTGCTGTTTCGAACTGTGTTTGCACCTTGCCTGGACTCTAGCTCGTCTTGTGGATTCCCCGTTTGCCTCACCCCCAGGATTAAGTTCGCCGGAGATTGACCATGCCCATTTACTGGACTACTCTTGTGTCTTGCCCTCAATATACCCGTTTGCCATTGTTTGACCCATGTTTGTTATGACCATGTCTCTGTCTAATAAAAACCTGCAGATAGATCCGCACGTCTCATGTTTTGTTCCCCCCATTACATACAGTTTGAGCCAAGGGAGATTAAAATGAGCTCTAATGGTGCGTTCACACCAGACGCGAAGCGAATATGCGCATCGCGCTACTCGCTCTAGATTACTCGCGCGATGTTTTTCATGTCACTCGCGTGAATAAAAACAGTGCGATCAACCATGGTGGAGATAACTACAATCGCTGTTTTGTACCTGTTGTCAAAAAGTCCCAAATACAATGGAAAGCCAAACGCTGACGTGTCTGGGTTCACAGCACCATCCAGAGGAGGATGAATAACTTTTGAGCTCTAATGGTGCGTTCACACCAGACGCGAAGCGAATATGCGAATATGCGCATCGCGCTACTCGCTCTAGATTACTCGCGCAATGTTTTTCATGTCACTCGCGTGAATAAAAACAGCGCGATCAACCATGGTGGAGATAACTACAATCGCTGTTTTGTACCTGTTGTCAAAAAGTCCCAAATACAATGGAAAGCCAAACGCTGACGTGTCTGGGTTCACAGCACCATCCAGAGGAGGATGAATAACTTTAGGATCCTGTATTAATGGGTGTGTTACATTTTCCTACTGAATATATACACTGATATTACTATTATTTTTATTATTGATAGCAGCATCTCTGTAGCCATGCTAATAAAATACAACTACCACTACAACTGATTTTAATTGTTTTCTATGCTCCAGACCTATATAATAACAGACGGCTGCAATAATGCTCTCTTCTATTGTCTGATTCAACCAGACGTGCCAATAAGCTCTTCGCTGATTGGCTTGCGGGAGAACGCGTTAGGCGAATTTTCCGCTCGAGTTGAAATTTTTGAACTTGCGCGAAAGACGCGATTGAGGCAAATATCTCGCGTTTGTGGCAAACGCGTCGCGCATTTCGCGTCATTCGCGTAGCCTGGCGCGAATTCGCCTCTATTCGCGTCTTTGCATTGACTTTGTATGTAATCTACTTGCGCGAATAATTAAATTTGCGTTTGGTGTGAACGCACCATTACAGTTTGACTGACACTAACAGGAATTTCATCTATACACTTTTATTCATATCACCCCTTATAATTTATATTGCATACACTACTGTTCAAAAGTTTGATGTCAGTAAGAGTTTACTGTAAGAGGTTTTTTTTTTTAATGCGTTCTTTCTGAGTAAAGACATTTAAAGAGCAGGTCATATGGGTTTTTGAAAAATATCTCTTTTGCCGTTTATAACGTAGCTATCCTTAAAATGAAAACAATCTGCAAAGTTGTTAATAAAAAAAGTGCATTATAAATAAAGATATTGTCTCTCAAAAGAGAGAGTCGATTCTGAATCGCCTTAACGAGTCATCATATTTTCAAATCTTGTGCCTGTTACCAGTATACGTCACTGGGTAACATAACTAGTTATGATTAATTATTCATATTTCCCATGAGCTGATTCGTTACAGTACGATTGATACGTTATGTGTACATTTTCAAATGAGTGCTCAAAATATGAAGTTTTTGTGCTAATATGTGCTAATATGTGATGTATACCTAGTGCAGGTTTAGGTTAAGCATGATATTACTGTAAGTAATAGTTCAGATAATTTGCTGTGAACCCACTATTTCCCAAGAATGTAGAGTGACGTTATTCTAATTACATCGTTTAATAATAAAGAACGTAGCATAGCACACAGACTTTATAATCATTGTGAAATTGCTGTTTATTTTGCTGCACCAGCAGTTATAGGGTTAATGCGGGCTGGTGCGCCTGTGAGCTGTTCTGTGTTCTGACTAAAAATTAAGACAGAGCATCTTTTGTCTGTCGTTCTTCAAACATTACAATAGACATATTTTGGTTTACAAACTGTATTGTTTCATCAGTTAGTCACGTTAGCACTCGGCCAATGTATCCACCATTATTGTTTTAAGTGTTCACAGTTTAGCAGCTAAACTTTAGCAGTGGGCACGATTTGCTTGCATAAGTGTTTTTGTATTTTATGTCATTATTATAAGAATGGATTAGAGCACTATATTATTGTTCTATGCAAAGGTGCTTTGTCAATGGTAGTGCTCGCTAACTTGCTCAAGGACTTCTCTCTGTGCCAATCACAACAGGTTTGGCCAGCTGACCAATCAGAGCAGAGTAGGCTTATGGAAGGGAGGGGTTTGCTCCAAACTTGCTTGGAACTAATCGTTTCGAAATCATTGGCAAATGACTCTAACATTAAATGTATATTCTGAGAAAAATACAATGTTTTCTGACCTCCGACACAATATTAGGACACTTTAAAATACCATATGACCTGCTCTTTAAGATAAAAAATGGCAGTGAATACATATATTATATTACAAAGGATTTCAAATAAATGATGTCCTTTGGAACTTTCTATTCATCAAATAATCCTGGGGAGAAAATGGATTTTACGGTTTCCACAAAATATTAAGCAACACAACTAACTCAGCATTGACAAGCAGAAATATTTCCTGAGCAGCAAATCCGCATACTGTAATGATTTTTGAAGGATCTTGTGGGACTGAAGACTGGAGTTATGGCTGCTGAAAATTCAGCTTTGACTTTTTAAAATGTATAAAAATAGAAGTTATTTTAAATTGTAATAATATTTCAAAATATTATTATTTTTTACCATATTTGTGATCAAATAAATGCAGCCTTGGTGAGCATAAAAGACTTCTTAATAAAAAATTTTTTTACAAATCTTACAGATGCCAAACAGTAGTATAAAACATTACTACAATATTTTGAAACGTGGTGCTCTGCAAGGGCTTCATTTTTTTCAAACATGCAGACTTGACATAAAACATTTATAATAATTATAATAATAATAATAATAATATTAAGTGCTTTTAAAAGCACTTTTTTTACTTTTTTATTACTATATTGCTATTATTATTATGATGATTATTAATTGCTTTTAAAAAGTATTTTTTATATATTTCCCAGTAAATGAGATGTGTGTTATAAAAAATATTCACACTGTACAACATTGTTTTATCTTAACTAATTACAGGTAAATTATCGTGATACTCACCCGTAGTTTGACCTGTGTCCGTCTGCGAAGCCATTTCTCTCGGGGGCTGGATGGAGAGATGGGAATAGCGTCTGAACAATCACCTTCCCCACCCTTCAGACAGTCGCATTGCATTACCTGACAAAGTGGCAGAAATATTGATGCTGTAAATTCCCAGTCTTATAAATTCAAGGCTTAGTCTGAATTAATCCCAAATCTGAGTGAATGTCTGAGACCACTATGGTAAAAACGTTTCTATTTTGTGTTTTCTTTTTTTTCTCATTGAATATAACATTTTCATTAAAAAAATATTTATATTCCAGAATTTCATTTTTTTTTTGTCAAATTAAAATGTTTATTTCCAGATTTAAATGAAAGCAGTTCCACAGACACCACTGTAAATGTTATTATAAAATGTGTTTTATTTAGTATGCTTATGAGAACTTTTTTTTTTTTTGTATTTAATGTTATTTATTTAGTCTGTCTTTCTGCTCCTTTCTACTACATAATTCTCAATAATGTGTTGTTAAAACTGCTCCCGTGAGTCTGTGTCCTCTCCGGCATGACATTAGCCAACATTTGCTGAACACATTAGACATAAAGAGCCACAGTTCTTCTTATCTTTTGACTGGATCAATGCACTTCTACATGTTTCTAAATATAGTCACTGGATGACGCATTTCAGCATTATTACATAGTCTGTGCTGTTTGGCCTTCTCTTTTTTTCCCCCTCAGTTGTTCAGAAGGCAGCTCATTGTTTGACATGGCATTCGTGTAGAGTTCTCAAACAAATTGAGGTGTGAGTCACTATAAGTTCACGAGAGTCTTAACCAAGGATGTCTGTAATAGCTGCAGAAAGCTACCCCGTTTGCATTCCCATTTATTTCAATGGCAGTTGCTTGGCTGGTACTGCATTCCCTGAAAGTATAGTTGTGAACTTAATTACGCTTTACACTACACGCTTATTCATAAACTGGCTGAAAACTACGTAGCTACTGTCTGTTTTCAGGTTGTTGTCGTTTTTTTGTTTCGTTTTTTACATACGTGTGAAATGGCTAAAATTTGCAAAAATAATCTCTTTTGATCTAATCAGTCAAATGGGTTTGCAAAAAACTGTTTGTGGTTCAGTTTGATTCATTAAGAAAGTTGTGTTGGTACAGCTTCAAACTGGGCGATGCTAACCAAGCTAACCATACTTCTTGCTCTCAGCCCTTCAAAGTGACCTAGAGATTTGATCATGTGATGACAGCCCTATTTCATTCCGTTCTGATTCCCATCTGTGTTATTGTCTGATCTGAAGCAAGTTAAAGGGGTACTATGATGCAATTTCAAGTTTTCCTTTGTCTTTTGAGTGTTACAAGCTCTTCATGCATATATAAGATCCGTAAAGTTGCAAAGACTAAAGTCTCAAACCCAAAGAGATATTCTTTATAAAAGTTAAGACTCCTAAAACGCCTCATTTAAACACACCTCCACATATCTACGCCAGTGTGTTGGAAAATTTGCATAACGCCGCCCAAATGTTTACGCAAAGAAAGAAGGCATAACTTTTATTCTCGCTGTAGTATTGTTGCCGCCGCCATGTCATGGAGACGCTGTGTGTTTCCAAATATGGTGTAACATTTCCGTCACACGCTTGAGGTATTCAGTCAATCACAACGCACTGGATAGCTGGCCAGTCAGAGCACTCCACGCTTTTCAGAACGATGAGCTTTGTAAAAATCAACACAATTCAGAAAGACAGGGCAGAGAGGAGCAACAATATTGTACAGTATGTGGAAAATAATGTGTTTCTTGAACCTTAAACTTTAAACACATTGCATTACACAAAATAATGTTATTTTTAGCATCGCCATATGACCATTTTAAGGGAAGAAATGGCTGAACTTTAGACTTTTTAGTACTATTGTCATGCTAGAGGGAAAGGCAGCAAGCATGAGTGAATAAAAAAGCAAATCCACAGCTTTTCCAGAAGTGTACAGTAAATGAACAAACTTTCCAGAAGGCCAACAATTCACAAAAAAAAAAATTCTTTATTGGTCTTATGAAGTATTCTAATTTGTTGAGATAGTGAATTGGTGGGTTTTTGTGAAATGTGAGCCAAAATCATCCCAATTAAAAGAACCAAAGACTTAAACTACTTCAGTCTGTGTGCATAGAATTTATTTAATACACAAGTTTCACAATTTGAGTTGAATTACTGAAATAAATGAACTTTTCCACGACATTCTAATTTATTGAGATGCACCTGTATATGTTATGCAACCTTTGTAATAGAGCAGAAAACTGTACTTACCTGTCTAAGAATAAAAGCCACAGCATCCGTGGACTTCCAGTATGATGCGTGGAAAAGGTGAGGTAGTGCTATAGTGGGAAATGTGGTGAGCACATCTGGACTGTACAGCACATAATCTAACCGCTTCAACCCCCACCACCTGCTACATACTGAGTGAGAAAAAAAGAGAGGATTTATGGTATACATGCCTGAACCACACTTATAAATAGCCTATATTTCCATATCCATCAAAGTGTCTGACTTCCATGTGGAAATGAATAAAGTATATGAACAACATGAAAGCACCTGATTCAAGGACATGCTGTGCTCTTGAGACTCACTGTGTGAGATGCTAACAGGCTCGCTAGGGGCAGTTTCAGACCCCTCAGCATCAGTGCCAGAGTGGGCAGGGCCAAGTGGAACAACTCGATCGCTGCCCCTGCGAGACACACTTCCTCCACAGCACTGCTCTGGGGGTCCATCTACAGAAACACTGCTATCTAAGAAGTGTCTGAGCACGGTGTCCACTTTGAGGAGAAATAAATAAAACACAACAATTCCAATTTATTGACTCTAAGAATGTATTAAAAAAATATATATATATATATATATATATATATATATATATATATATACACATACAGTTGTGAGATATGGTTTACGGATTGGCTGACTGTCGGGTGACTTTAACTTGAATCATGTCCAAAAGTTCAGTGGTGTATAAAGTACCTGAAAGCCATACTCAAGTAAAAGTACAGATATCTTACCAGAAAATGACTTTGGTAGAAGTTGAAGTCATCGTTTAGAATATTACTTGAGTAAAATCTTAAAGTATGTGATATTAATTGTACTTAAGTACAAAAAGTATTTTTTAAATCTTAAACGTACTTAAGTATTGAAAGTAAAAGTACAAGTAAATGCAAAATGGAAAAGAAGCAAATAAATATAAAAATAAAATCATACACAGCTTGAGTAGCAAAACTGTTCAACTGTTTTAACTCTTTCTTCTATTTTGTATTTTTGGGTAAGAATAAGAAGCACTTCATACTTATTGTCTTTCATTCCAGCATTAGAAAACATTTCTGGAATCTGCATCTAAAATAGCATTTAGCTGTATTTACACAGTTTAATGTAGCTCAGATGGGACATGGATGTATTTAACCTGCAGTTACAGATGGATAAATAATGTTTTGTTTGTTTGTAACATAAAACGTTGAATACTTATATTTGAAATGATTTAAAACATGAAAAAAATAGTCGAAATGTGAAATTAAAACCGCCAGTAGGTGGCAGCAAGTGACTGTCAATGAGTGAGTCATTGAGATTCAAACCGATTCATTCAAACGGCTGATTCATTCAGGAACAAAGCATTTGACTGGGTTGATGAGTGAATCACTGAATCGTTTACTCAAACGATTTGTTCAAAAAGCTGATTCATTCAATAAGTAAACACTATTGGCAAAACAGTGCTGTGGTCTTTGTTTGGAACTATTTTCGTTGGCAAAATGGAGCAAAAACATGCATTATTACGTCTAAAATGTAAGTCAATTATTGCTAACTTTACTGAACTTGAATAAAATTATTATTAAATGTCTGAAAGGAATCCTGCTAAGATGGCGGCAGCGTGCAGGTTACGTCGCCGCCCTATGTACCGTGACGTCACATTCTCATTCTTTTACAAGTTATTTGCGCGCAATGTATCTGGTTGCCATGACAACCTCATGCCTGCTGCATTGCAGTGCTGCTCTATGTAATCCTAGTAAAAACTAAAGCAACTCAATGTAATAACTGCACATAATGTAATAAATATTACATTATTATTCTAATAAAATGTTCATAATGTAATCATTTTCTCAAAACGTAAAATCTTGAGCTCATAATATAATTTTTCAATATAATAAAAAAAATGTCACATAATGTAATAGGTTATTATATGAGAAATGTATTACATTATGAACACATTGTGGCAACTTATTATGTAATCACAGTTCACAAGGTAATACCAGCACATAACTTAAAACAATTATTATTATGTTTACAATATCATAATTATCTTTCAATTTAATAAATTTGAGCACAACATAATCAGTTTTATTAAATGAAAATTAGGCTTATTAGGCTACATTATGACATGCTTAATTTTTTTGATATAGTGCCTGGTTTCACAGACAGGGCTTAGACAGTGTCAGGATTAGGCCATAGTTCAATTAGGACATGTAATTTTTATAAATGTGCCTTAGAAAAAACATTACTAGTGTTCGTTTTGAGACCAAATAAAGGCACTTTATTTTTTATTTTATTTAAAGTTAGAGCAAGTTTCTTTCAGTTGAAAAAGCTCAGACTTAGATTTTAGTCTGGCATTAGGCTTAAGCCTTGTCTGTGAAACCGGGGATAGTCATTTAAATGGTTGTTATAAAAACTTGTTTAGGCCTATACATTTGTGTAGAGTATAATGTATTTATAATTTTGGCGATATGATTAGACAGTTTTATCTTCCTGAGGTAAATGTCACGAACAGTAACTGACACATAGGCCTACTTTACAGGCTGTTATACTGATGATCCCTGCACTGTAAAAAAATTACAGTAACTTACTGGCAATTTTGGTTGCCAGTAAGACTGTAAATTTACAAGAGTACTGTAAATCAATAATTACAATTGTACTGTAAAAATACAGCACACTGCTGTATATATGCTGTAAAAGTATGTTGTTTTTTTACAGCTATCCCTGTAAGATTACAGTAGCAATGTTTACAAATGTGAGTGAAATTACAAGAGCAACTGAACTTGTACTGCTATACATTAAATTAGGGCATTTGTTGTGAAATTCAGTTCACTAAATTATCTAGTTGAGATTTTTCCACTGCTGTGATAGTGTGTAAACCTACTTTTCCCTGTAATTTTCAGTAGTCTTTTTTGTCAATTTAGTGTGTAATGTGAACAATAGAACTTTAGAAATAACAGGTTTTCATAAATTTAACAATTTATTGTACAATAATGTTCATTTAACATGTACACCATTTTCCAAAACATATTTGGAGACACAAAAATGAAGATTGCACATTAAACCAAAGGCTTTAGCCTTGAGAGAAAAAAATAAAAAAAATTTAAAAACACATCCCTACAGTGGGACTGAACTTCATTCATAAACTCAAAGTTTAAATAAACACGAAAGAAAGGGTCTGAACTGTGCCTACCTTTAAATTGCCAAATCCATGAAGGGGTAAAGAAAATATTTCCAATAGTTTCACTGACCAAGTTAATTGTATTTTGAAAAGAAAATAGTTTTACATTTGTTTGCATATTTTGTAATAGATTTTTTTATAAAATATTTTTGCTGGACTTTGGTTGTATGTACTCAATTCAGTGTGCAGTCAGCATTTTTTTGCTGTTTGAAAACTTTTCCAAAAAACATCTAATCCTGATAAGCCATCCAAACCTGTAAACCTAAAAAAAGTAATGGAAATTTGGATGTCTACAATACATATTCAGTAAGCGTTTATGTTCTGACATACCTCTGAATAAATTCGAGGGTGCATGCAGCTTCATCCTGATAAGCAAGGTTTAAGTTGTAATAGGTCGCAAACAATACTGCCAGGCCCTCAACAAATGCCTCTGAACATGGGCCAAAGACAGCTTCCCTTTCGACTGACAACATCTACTTGCTTGGGGTCATGGATTCACCTGTAAAAGAAATACAGAAGGACATAGATTAATAAGTGTTGTAAAAGCATGGTTTATGGGTAGTACATGTTAACTAATAAAGCCACTGATACTATGATACTATAAACTAAAAGATAGTGAAGACCATGGTTACTAATGAGAGAGAGTGGTTCAGAGACAATAACAAATGGAAGGAATATAGGAGTGAGAATAGAACTGTGAAGTAGAATACATGAACAGAGGTGGCAAAAATATAAATATAATAGAAATAGAAAGCAAAGAACAGTGTGTATAATAGAGACAGAAAGTAAGACACATTACCTTGAAAGATCAGTGCGTGTGAATCCGGTAATCCATTTCTTTCCATGTCGGCTGCAGTTGCTGCTACCTAAAAAATATATACAAATATTTTGCATTACCAGTTAAACTTAAGACATTAAAAATCAAAATGATATTACTTACATTAGCTTCAATTAGAAGTGATTCTGTTCTCTCTTTAAAATGGGCCATTAAGAGTTGCAGGATGCACAGGACCAGAGAATTTCCTTCTTGATACTTTGACAGAACAGCATGCACCTCACTGTTTGGACATCCCTAAAAAGATGGAAAACAGTGGTGTAACACAATCACAGACAAGCCACATGATCAGTAACAAAGTAGCAGTAAAGCATGTGCACAGCAATTTCCAATGTACTTTCTAATGAACAACTAAAGTACTAATATTACTACATGCACCCTTATAATTGATCCTTACAGCAACTCCATCGAACAAACACGTGCTAATTAGTTAATGGCTTGGCAGTCGATCGTTCTTCCATTGGCTGGCTGGCTGGCAGTATGCCTTAACAAGATCCACTGGCGGATCAGTCAGACAGCTGCAAGAGCGCTCGGAGTTTAACACGTTCTCTACCACTCTCTCTACAAGGAAATATATTGTGACCTGTCAGTGACGGCTCCTGCCAGCCAGTTGAAGATTGAACCCCTACTGTAAAAATGCCTATTAAAACGTGAATTATCCCAGTAACAAGAATCTTTCTCATAAAGTAATTTCAGCGACAACAGGACAAACTGCAATGCTTTTTAATAATTCTATAAAAGAAAGCCAACTTAAACTCCATTAGGGGTTCAATCCCTAACTGATTGGCAGCACCAGTGACCATTGGCAGCTGGCAGTCTGATTCTGGCAGGTCACGTGATCTGCCAGTGGTTGGCTGCCTGGCGGCTGGAAGTCCACTGTCAGGAACCATTGATTTATGTCAGATTTATGTTGCACTCCTTCCACTCTATACAGGAATAATAATATAACTTTTTTTATTGTACATCTGTTAATATGACTTTATTCTTTTACATATTCGATGTTTTATGGAGTGATATGGAACCCGTTCAATTCGGAGCTGAAAGTGACTGGCTGCACTAACCCACCAGTCCGGATCACGGTCTTTTGAACACTTTATTTGTGATAAACCTCCCTAAAATGTCCACAGTTTAAAAGACTAGACTTATAATAATATATTAATCTTAAATCAGGATAAAACCCCCTAAACCATATATGATCTTAAAGAATAGATTAATGAGAATATATTTATAATAATAATAATAGTAATGCATTTCCTTGCAGCTAGAGTGGTAGAGAACGCGTCAAAATTAGAGCTCAATTGCCACTGGCTGGACTGAGCGGCCAGAGCAGCGTCAGACCCACCAGTCGGTGTTATGGACATTTGTCTCCTTTATTCAGGATAAACCTCCCTTATACGCCCATAATCATAAAATAATATATTTCCTTGCAGAGAGAGTGGTAGAGAACGTGTTATACTGGCAGCTTCATAGCGGCTGGCTGGACTAAAGTGTCAGTAACCCACCAGTCGGGATAACAGTTATTTGACCACTTTGATTGGGATAAACCTCCCTAAAACGTATATCATATAAAATGATAGATTCATATGAATATAGCCTATACATAATAATAAAATAATTTATTTTCTTGCAACGGGAGTGGTAGAACGCGATAATCTTTAAGTTTAACAGTGACTGGCTGGATGAGCGGCCAGCGAAGCGTCAGTAACCCACCAGTCAGGATCACGGCAATTTGACGGCTTTAATCGGGATGAATCTTCCTTAAACGTCAATCATATAAAATAATAGATTCACACGAATGCATTAATAATAATAAAAAAATGAATTAAATTGTAGTGAGAGTCATATGGAACGCGTTAAACTCGCAGCTCAATAGCAGCTGGCTAGACTGAAGAGTAGGCAACCCACCAGTCGGGATCACGATCATTTGACCACTTAAATCAGGATAAAACCCCCTAAACCATATATGATCTTAAAGAATAGATTAATGAGAATATATTTATAATAATAATAATAGTAATGCATTTCCTTGCAGCTAGAGTGGTAGAGAACGCGTCAAAATTAGAGCTCAATTGCCACTGGCTGGACTGAGCGGCCAGAACAGCGTCAGACCCACCAGTCGGTGTTACGGCCATTTGTCTCCTTTATTCAGGATAAACCTCCCTTATACGCCTATGATATTAAAGAGTACATTCATAAGAATACATTAATAATAATAAAACAATTCATTTCATTGCAGTAAGAGTCATTAAACTGGCAGCTGGCTGGACGGAAGCGGCAGTAACCCACCAACCGGGATCACGGCCATTAGACTACTAATTAAACCTCCTTAAACCTATATTATATAAAAAATACGTTCAAAAGAACATATTCACAATAATAAAATTATGCATTTCCTTGCAGCAGGAGTGGTGGGGAACGCATAGGCATACTCGTAGCTTAAAAAGTCTGACTGGAGGAAACTGTTATAGGAGGACATGAACGCAAATAATATATTAATTGACTCAAAGTTGTTTACAAAAACAGAATGATTTCCTTGGAATGAGAGGCAGCAGAGGCTGGCTGGTTGAGCGTCCAACAAAGCGTCAGTAAGCAACCAGCCGTGATCGCTTTCATTTGACTGCTTTAGTTGGGGAAAATAACCTAAAAGGTCAAGAGTCATAAAAATATATTCATAATAAAATAGTGTATTTCCTTGCAGGGCGAGTGATAGGGTAGGCGTTCTACTCGCAGATCTACAGCGGCTGCCTGAAGCTGCCAGCCAGCCACTGGCAGGTCACATGACGTGTCAGTGGCGGTGTTCCGGTGAATTCAGTTCCCCTGTTTCCCCCTCACAGCGCCTGCGCAACTTGGCAGTGTTGCCAAGTCCGCGGTTTTCCAGCGGTAGTTTTTAGTAGCAATCGGGCGTTTTTTTTAATATATCCTGGCAACCCTGAAACTCCAGTACAAAAATCATGACGTCATGATTTCGCCCCGGCTAAGCAAGTCAGCTTATGGTGGTTTTGCTGTCTTTCTGCAAGCAATGTTCATTTCACCATGTTATTTAGATAATTTGTAATTAAATACGTATTAATGTACGTGACGTCCTGTTCAATCTCAACATAGAGTCAGATTTCCCTGCTAATTCTAACTTTTGCCTGTTATGAAGTGTAACACCATACATTACAATTAGACAGTTAAATTTCTTCGTCAGGGGCATTCTTTTGTTCAGACGCCCATTTCCATTTTATTGTTATTGTTGTTGTTAGTGTGTGTGTGTGTGTGTGTTTCTGTTAAACAACTTAATCCTTGTCGAAATAATAACAAATAAACTATACTGCACAATGACTAGTCTCTCTTTTATTATTTTAGGTAACTCAGAGTGATGCTCCTGATGTGTTTTTAAAATGTCATAATTACGTCTAACCACTTTTATCTGCAGAACACTTTACACTGAAAACACAGGGGGAACAGATTTTTCTAGAGGCCTGAGAAAATTGCCCCCCCCCACCCCTTTTTTAAATGTCATAATTATGTCTAGC